TATATATATATATATATATATATATATATATAAAGAATTGTTCTTTAAACTACTGAACTGATAAGACAAACAGTGAATTCCTTGCGTAGCCAATTAATAATAATTATGTCGTTTTACACGATAAAAATTTTTTGTTTGTTGCAATAATCCTTTAATATTTGTCTTCAAGATATCTGTTTGTAAGATAATAAATTATTGCAAGAAGATATAAACATATCTTTTTCTTATCCTGTAATTATTATTATTTTTTACTAGCATAAGTCTATGTAAATTTATATCTAGGCGGATCGTATATAACGATATATAATTTTGGAATGTATTCGCTTTAGCTTGTAGCGAATGGCATTAGTGTCATTTGAAATGCCCGTTGTCTTATCGTATACGTGTCCAAATTGTCGGATGTTATCAGTATGATGAGTCAGCATGCTCCGCTCGACATATGTCAGGATAATCGATGGCGATTGTAATATAAGCTCCCTTCATCAACCAAGCGACGACGTGCGGTATCGAAAGAGACTTCGAAATGCAACTAATAACATTCTCTTTCCTATTAATTGTTAAGTCATTTATTTTATTCGTCTATGTTCTAAGTTTCCAAAGGTATTTCGACATCTCTTGGGATATAACACTATTATTTTCTAAATATAAGAATAATTTTACGTAAATAAATACACTTGAAGCAAAAAACATTTGTATCTCAAAATCATATATCTTCGTTAATGCTTTTCCTTAGAGCAGCAGTTGATTTTTTTTTTACATTAAAGTAATTTTGTGCTTAATGAATGTCTATGAAAATGAAAGCTCTGAAAACAAATTAGAATTTACAGAAAATATTGCAAAAGTATATGTATCACACGACATAACTATTTAAATTGCAACTTTAATTTAAAGAAATGTGATATTATAAGTAGAATAACTTTTTCATCAATAACAATTTTTATTTCATTCAAACAATTAAATCTTTAATATTATAAGTAGAAGTTATAATTTATTATTATCACTAATTGCGAAAATTGCAAATAGTAGAGAATTTTTCTTCTCAGTTTAATCTATTCTGCCTCTATGCGAAAGATTTATTATTATTTTCCAAA